GCGCACGGACTTCCTTAGCCTTGCGCACGGCCGCCAATGTGTTCCAGATAAGGTGGCAGGACGTGTGGCGGCGGGCAGGTCGCTCTGGACGTAGGCTTTGATGATGTCGCTCTGAGTTAACTTATTGCCCGTCCGTAGGCCATATAGGTTATTGGGAGTGCCTTGATTGAGCTGTTAGATGTATCAATTCAGACTCATCTGGGGCGTCATTAGCCGTCAGGCGCCTCTCTGTCTTGGATTCGGCGTTCTTCCATGATTGTCATGATCTTCTTCCCTTTCTCTTGAGCTCTTTTTCAATACACTTCATTACACTTCCATGTTCCAACGGCAATCTAGCCTTGTGACTCGTTTCTTGCTTCAACAATGGCTGCAGTGTCATTTATCTAATCTTGACCTCGTTTTCATTGATTGTGCGTTCGGCCAACCGTCTCATTTGGCGCGCAAAATGTGATATTTTGCTGTTTTCCTTCCTCTTTTTCCAAATATACATTATATATATATATATATTTTGTGATCTTTGGAGCACTTCTCGTTCATAAACATCGCAGAGAGTTTGGGCTGGGACTTGGTTGAAGCCCACTCTAGGCTTTACCTGATGCGAGTCGCAAAAGTTTAGTCTCCGCCCTTGGCAGTATGAAGACCATTCGACACGCACACTCCCACCAAACGCCCGTGCTGTGAAGCGCAAAGAGCTTCAACGCCTTCCTGCGCTTGAGCCTTTGCTTGCGACGCCTGTTAGCAAATGCCCATATCCTTGCGACGGAGAATTCATGTTTTGCCAAACACACCACGCCGCGCAAGGCAACGAACCGCAAAGGTCTACTTCCCCTATATAAGGAACCGCTCTCATAATAGGTCTTTCTAAACTTTAGGATCTAGAAGGTTACCCAAATTTCTTCGCAACCCTACCAAGACCTGCGCATTCAGGGCCACAACAGCATTCGACGAAAACCCTATCCGCTGTGCCTGGCTGCCAACCCTGTGGGCGAACCAATGTGTCAACATGGTTAGTTTTGACTTCCGCAACACCTCGGTGTCACTCTCTTGCCTAAACGGGATATCGAGACAGGGCTGCAACTTTCCATGAACCGATGCCTTTTGGAATGTCTTCCAGAACACTTTAAATCTTGATCAACTCATCGAACCTCTCCGTGTTGGATTGGATGTGTGCACCCTCTCCTTCATGGCATGCTTTGCTAGAGGTGGTCTCTTGAAAGCATTTGCTTTCCCATTCAACCACTGATTGACTGATTCGTCACTTACAGCTCTATATGGCAATGCTTCCAGTTTACACCAGACTTGGTCCGCCACCCGAAGAAATCCCAGGAATGGTCTTTGCACCTAGCTTCGACCCTGGTTTGTTGGGTTTGTAGTGGCTCGAATGACTTCACAGCCATGGCCAGGCAACGCCTTCCAGTAATCAATTCTCTATGTGTACAGCGTCGGCAGCGTAGCATGTGGCATGTGTGGACACAAAGGGTTGAAATTTCCAGCTTGACCCCCTTGCGATGTCCTTCTTTGCCGATTCAGGATGGCTGTATTGCCGTATGAAAGTTCTATACCGTAGATCGTGCCTAGCTCATCTGCAACTTTCTTTAAATTTTAAGTGAGCTTTCACCATGCAGTTCTTCATTGGGCCTTCTACCGATGAAGTTTCTCAAAGCTTTCGCGGCCTCATCCGATGATTCGGGTATATACTCGTCGAAAGCGACCAAACAAAACGACCCTCCCTTGTCACCCATTAGAAGGTGGAAAAAAAATGGTTTACTGTAAATGCGGCCTCCGGAATCCTTAGCATGTCTGCCATCATTGAGAGCTCTGTATTCTTGAGTTTCCGCGCCAAAGATGATCTTGCCTTGCGCTTCACGCGAATCTTGTTTTGGCAGGTGTGTGATGTCACGTGTGTCAGGGCTATGTCAGAGGCGCGGCTGGGCCTGCTGCTCTTGTGAGCTTGGATCTTCGTCTGCGTAACCATGGTTGGGGGCTCATACCCCTGCGGTCAAAAGCTGGGATTGGTAGTGGCTTCAACCATCTCAGCAACAGCCACTGCTACCGTTTCAGCTTACTCTGCTCTTTCTGAACGCTTTTGCGCAGTTCGGTTCAGTCTCACTGCTCAAGCTGAAAAAATATTCACTAGAGAAACTTTAATGTGCGGTTCCTGCGTGCTCAATGGAAACTTTTCTGGGGTTCTGGCCCCCTGTTCTTCCTGATGCCCCTTGTCCCAACATCTCACGCTGTCTTCAACGAGCTTCTTGAACTCGTCCAGCTGTCAATGCAAGTTCCAGTCCTTCGTACAATATGCCGTCGCCGAAACTCCTTGACGTACCCACACTGCTCGTCCAAGAACAGTGACACGGCCAAGAAAACCGACCCAGCGTGTCCTTCTCCTGCCAATGGAACACGATCAAATGACCAGGGCACCCATCGAGACTCGAGGTCAAGCTCCTGATCTGATCGCCCTCCGACACAAGACAATGCAGTAGTTGGCCTCCTTCCCTACCAAGTCCGTGTAGGCACCCCAGAACAGTTCACTGAGCCTTTCCCGCGACTCGACTTGCCGCCGCGGGGGCGGGCCTTGCGCACGCACCGTGCACGATGCAAGCTGCAAGGGCTTAGTTCGAGAACTTTAAGCACTTGAAAAGAACAAGCTTCGCCCAGTCGAACGGATCAAGTGCCAGCTGCCGAACCAGTGCTGCAAACTCTACAGCAAGCCGCGTAAGGCTGATAACCCAATGAATGGGTCAGTGTACAACAATATATGCCACCACATCAATGCGCGCAAAGAGCTGCGGCACCTTTTACACTTGAGCCACAATTAAGTCGAGTAACATCTATTTACATGTGGAAGGTTTCGACATCATCTTTGGAAATGTTGTTCCTCTTTCCCTGGAACTACTTATATACTTATAATACTTACTTGTTATGTAGTTTTATAACATAAAAACATATAAGCCTATGGCTCAGAACGGACAAGAACAAGCATCAGTACTAGTATTGGCTCAGCTTCAAAGCTTGCATGCCTGTCCAAAGGTTGAGCCCTGACAGCACTGCAATCGGTGTCCAGCGGATAACTGCGTGAAAGTTCCCTCGTATCAATTTGGCTCCAACCAGGTGCAATACCTGTCAAGTTGAGCTAAGCCATACTGTGAGCTGTTCAATAACAAACCTCCAGCTCTCCCACCGCCCAAGGCTTTCTGAAGCTGGAGTTTGTTGGGGGGTAGGGGACAGAAGTGTGCCTCGTCATCCTGCACCTTCACAGGTGAAATCGAAAGCCCTAGCGTTTTCAGGATGCTGGAAGGTCCAAAGCTCAGGGCAAGCCAATGTCGGAGCGACTATGCCAGCAAAGTTTGGATCTGAGTGCTCCAGCTAAGTGGGGTTGAACAAGCATGTGTCTTTCAAAGATATCGTGCTTCACAAGCATCCTACACTATATCAGTACGAGCTAGTTCATCTGCGTCTCATCTGTGAAACTCTCGACTGAACAAATGCCCACGCCCAACCGTACAGCAAAGAAACTCCGGCCACGGTGATGGTGGCACATTGTTGCATTGCCAGTAGGATGGTTCCCGCTTGTGTCCGGGTAGCTGCCTCCTGGCTCTTCTCATGACATGATCAAATGGATACGAATGGCAATGTCAAATGTAAAATGAACACAACTTGGCATATTCAACATGAGTAAGTATTGTGGAGCGTCTTGGTGACAGTGGGGGTATTGAGGTGATTGGGTGCAGCCCGTGCTTGTGGCTACCAACTCAGATCGTGCAAGTTGGAAACTAAGGCACTATTGTCGTAATGACTTTCGATACAGGTACGGGATATGCGTCCACGCAACAAGCAAATCCGCCAAATCTATATGTAATGATGCATGCCCGCGTGCTTTTGGGGGACCCCCTATAAACCACGGGAGTTGAGTCAATAGACAAATGATAACACGCCCATATAACTACACACTGACACGTATAAATAAATATATATATATACAGTATAATGATTAAACACAGACTGCATGAAACTGTTCACAGAAGCAATATTCCCAGGATTCCCCGAAATGTCCACGAGCCCATATAGCCCGTATATGTATATTGTTAGAATTAGTTGTATATATGTATATGCGCATGGCTGCCTGTGAGCCACTTACGTATGGTGTTGAGCAACGGGCAAACAAGCAATTTAATTGGTCAGTTGTGGTCCTTGTTTGCGACCACCATGCCAACACTGCAAATCCTTAAGGAAAAACCCTGGCATCCGGCCAGCAAATGTAAATCGGTGACAAAGTAGCCTACATAAATAATCATAAATACATAGTCAGTCATAGTCACATAGTCCAAAATCGTCGAACATCTGGTGATTTTCTTTCAGCATTTGTATCTTGTGCTAATGTGCCACAAGCTACTGTGACTTTGCATTGCATAATGGCATAGCATCAGCCAAATACAAATTACAGCAAACCTAATTTTTTGTCCGAGCCACATGTACAGTGCAGTCGCCTTGATTGCAGGATCGTCTGCAGCATTCAGCGGGGGTGGCAAAGAAAATTTGCCCATTGCTGGCATTCTTCAGTGAGGGGCGATGAAAGCCGCCCGATCACACATACAAATTGGAGTTCCATAATGCTTGTCAAACTACTTTGCAGTTTCTGAAGGACGTGCTTTGTCGATAGAGTGCCCTCAACAGCGCGCTGTTGTTTGTTTCAACTGGCGTTGGAGTCCGCAAACTATCCGCCACCTTGGGAATTGACCAAGACTGGATTTCAGGTTTGCATTCACGATGAATATCTGCACCACTACTCCATCTGAGCCAAGCGGCATGTATTTTGACGTTTCGAGAAGGTTTGAACGGTTTGCCGCATCTTGTTGGACTTACACAGCATGACAGCCAGTTTCTCTGGTCGGCTCTTGGAGCCATCTTGGGAAAAACAACGCAAACAAGTGCAAACAAGCTCTGAAGACATCTGAAGACCATGGCATTCTTTGCCAGGTGGCATTCTGCCGAGGACAGTCCTGTACCTGAGGTGCCTGCGCTACCGGCAAAGGCGCTAAAGAGGCCACTGGAGGAGATGGTGGAGACAAAGGTGGTGCTGGTGGCTGTGCGGCCAGCATGGGGCCTGGGTTCTCTTTCTCTCTCTCTCTCTCTTGCAATACAGGCAAGCAATCTCTACGTAGCCAGCAAACTTCAATCTAGCACTCCTAACATCGCAAACAAGCCTTTCATGACAAGTGCTTACTCCTGTAGGATAATTCAACCAAGAAATGAACCACATTCATCAAACTTTGCAACTTGACGTACTGATTAATATGGAGGATAATTGCTTTTATCACATTCTTGGTGCTGGACGCACGGTTTTCGTGCACGCGCTGGCGGCAAAGAATGATAAACACGACATATAAACACGGCAAAAGGTCAGTTCCTACAACCTATGCTATGCAAAGCTACAAGCTCCACTCCCACTCCATTGGTCCAAGGTGGTCCAAGTGGACAGTTCTCAGGATTGTTGTCTTAACGGGTCGCGATACAATGAATATACTTTATCTAAGGATCTTCAAGGTTTGCATCTCCTAAAGCGCTGCTCATTGACGAGCCTGGATTTCAGCTGCGCTTTCCATAGGCTGCCGCTAAATTCATTGCAAGAACAGACTCATCAATTTGTCAATAACTTATAATGCTTCCCGTTTTCAGGTTGAAAGACCTTGCAATCTTTCCATGGTACTTATTTACCCTGCTGTGAGGAGGCCTGTTGCTGATTCTGTGGCACTCACAATCCGGCTGAGCAAGCTGCTGAGCAAAAAACAAATGGCTGAAGAACCTCTGGTGAATTCCAATTCGACATCCTCAAACAACACCAACTTCAATATTGAATAGTTGGCGGTGAGGTGTTGGCCCCATGTTTAGTGGTCTCCGCGCTAAAAGTGCGCTAGGCAAAGCCTGGAGCACTGACTGACAAGTGAAACATAAAAGCTATTATCCAGAGATGGCTGGCTCTGTGGGGCAAGCATATATAATATATAAATACATATAGTTGAACTCTGTCATGTGGTAAGGCCTTGCCTCTGCCATCTCGTCAGGCTTGCAGCTTTCAAATATGCTCGGCTTTGCCATCAGATTTGGTAGTCATTAGCTAGACCTCACACATATGAAAATCTGAAGACTGAAAAGACGTAAAGTTGTTGTGACAAGGGATGGAAGCACTTGGGCCACAACCATCACAGTGATGCCTGCGGAGGGCATCTCGAGAAGGCCCTCTTGGGTGCAATGATGCCCAGGAAATGCATGCGACAACCTCCCTCTTCAATCCACACAAGCTACATACAGTACTCAGTACATCCTGATAGCCTTTTATGACACATCTCTCAAGTTTTCCTTGCCTTAGTGCTCTGATCCTGAGCCTCACCTGCAAGGACACCAAATACAGTGCAACTTGTTCGTGTAAAAATAAAAAATGTGAGTCTGCCAGCAGAGCAAAACAAAGCACGTGCTGCAAAATGGTTTTGCAATCCATTGCAGTTTGCGCTGCTATGCACCCCTTTGGAAAGATTAAACGAATGCGTACGTTCTACCGTTTCTACACATGACATGGAGCGCTCCAGGTAGAATGGGAAACGGAGAATTGGTTTCGGTCTGGGCTGTAGTCTCTAAGGCTGGAGCAACCTTGTGAATGTTGTGTTGATTTTTTTTTTTGCACGGGTAGGGGCGCTGTGTGTGCCGAGAGGCACAAGTCACCAATGTGAATGTTGTGTTGAAACGTACCGCACACTGAGGCCTGTACTTCTCCGCGAACGCCTGCAAAGCTGAGGCCATGCAGTGGCACCAGGGCAAAACAACGTATGAATCATGCCAGTTGGTTCATGACCAGCAGTCATTGGGCGCAAGTCTCTTGTAGAAAAGGGCATGGCTCTATACACCGTGTACATATGTGCCTAGGCGTCCACACATAAGATCCAGGGACCACGTCTGTACATATAATGATACATCTTTTTATGTGTGACTCATCTACAAAATTCGTTGAACGTCGTAGAACTCTCAGTCATTCCAATTTTCAACATTGTGGGAAACAGTTCAACTTCCAAGCTTCTCTGCAATGACTAGAATCGTAATTGTCGAACGTCAGTGTAAAAATGCACCGGCCCTTCGGTGAAATGCATTTGCAAAATCAGTGTTCTAACTCTTCTGCATAGCTTCCCGGCCACAAGTTCGTAGATTTTGAACGTTAGGCCACAGCATGTCTTCTTTCATCTTGTGCCTGGAAGGGCTGCTGCTTCTTTCCCTATCCATTGGGCGTTCACGGCCTCAGAACGAGGCCACTTGATTTATATATAGATCATGGGACCTGTGGCCAAAAAGTTACCAGTCAGGTTGGCACCTCTGCAGTTGCAGCATGTTGGGTAAACGGGGGGGGTTGCCCCGACTGCAACATCAGAAAAGCATGCGCTTTACTGGGCTTTCGGGGGGGGTTCGGGACACTCAACTTCTCGAACTTCTCGTCTAGTGAACTCCAAGACGATAAGTTGAGTGCACTTTGAAGATCTTTGAAGACCATTCAAAGACCACCCAGTCAAATCCTGGAGTCTTTCCCGTCCTCTCACCTGGTCGATGATCTGCAACTCAAGGAACCTTTTGCGGCACGACTTCATTTCAATCCTCTTTCCAATTGAGCCATGACAGCTCACTGTACTCTTGAGCTGGCGGACAAGCGTCTTGCACAGCCTCTCTGTGTATTCTCACAGCCTCTAGCATTGAGTCCAATGGCTGAACCACAAAGCTGCGAGGCCTTCAACGTGGAATAGGAGCTCAGTTGCTGCCCCGTTGAGGACACGTATAGGGGTTGCGCAAGAGGTGCGCAAGTCGAATCTTCGCCTCAACGCATGCTCGAGGCATAGCCAAAGGTGACGCTTATATTATATTTTCCTTTGCGCAAATAACAGCGGCAAAGTGTTTGCGCATGCCCGTTTGCAACATGTTGGGTGAACGGGGGGTTTGCCCCGAAGGCAAGCAAACGTTTCCGACCAGCGAACAGGGTTTTCTGGGGGGGGTGGGGGGGGGGGGCTGGGGACAGTTTCGTTCGTGTTACTCGTTGCGCAAACCAAACATCGCGTTTCTGGACCGACGTTGGCACGCAACGAGAGCATGGTTTCACCAAACCTGACGAATGCAGCGTACGGCGTACGCAACAATACCTTACAGATCCTTACAGTCCACGGGGCCGAGCCCTGTGCTTACACCAGGAAGCATTTTCTATCTACAGCAATTGCCATGTGGGCGTCGATCAAAATGAAGGTATCTGAGGCAGCTACAATCGCCGATCAACCGCGAATCAATCGCGATCCCAACTGTGTCAATCGCGGGAGTCTCTCGTATGCACGCAGAGAATCGTCGCAACGTTGCTACATTTAGAGACATGGCGTGAGCCAGGGCCTACTCAGGCGGTTTTAACAATTGCGGCACAATCGCGGATTTCGTCGACATTTTTATGATAATTGAATTGATCATATTCTGGGCTGGTAGACTTTGAACTTTGTTGTTATGATTCTTCTTTGCTATTGGCTATCACTATTGAACACAGTGTCTAGGCAAACCCGAATATAGTGTAAGGCTGAACTTTAACATGGTTATCATGTCATTAAATATTGATTTCTCCTCTGACAATGGTCGATTCTGATACAACAAATGTTTGTCTCAATCGCGAACCAATCGCCGATCAACCGCGACGCAGGGTTTTACAATCGCAGATGCTGAGATACACATGCCCATTCATAATTCTTAGATTTGCATTTATGATCGGCTCCCATGTAGTGAGTAAAGGCAGGTTATGGAAGTTGGAGCTTCGCATGGGGTATGATGGTGTCTCAAACGGCAGCAGCCCAACTAGTCATCAAAGCGCATTTGGTCCGACGCACTCCGATGATCCGGCAAGAGCTTGCAACCTGCAAGCGTCTGTGACCCAATTCCTTCCTGCTAGAGAGATGCTCCATTCATGGATGGGGGGTCTTGAGTGTGACTTTATCCACCAGAAAACGGAGCATAAAATCAGGCGTGTTGACCGAAAGCAAACCTCTGGTTTTCAGAGGTGCTCACCCTTAATTTGGTGACCATAAACAGCCCAACGTTATATAAATGTGCGCGGGGCCATTTTTGCTGAGCATGAGGAGGGGACCCCTGCAGCCCTATATATTACATACTTGACACGCAGTGGCCTAGATTGTATTTAATTTCTCTTTTCCACTGTCTATATTTACAACTTAGTTAATCTGGTGGCCACTGACACAAATGGGATCTTTTAGCTGGAGCCCACTCAGTAACTGCTACATTCTGAATTCTGACTTTGTCTGGCATTGCGCTCTGACTTACAGCCTTCATGTACTGCCCGGAGAGTGCCTTCAACTTCTGCTGGCCTTCCGTCAGCTTTGTCTGGAGCTCTTGCGTGTCCTGCAGCATGGAAGCGTATTGAGCCTTGATGGCATCGAGCTTGGCCTGTAACTGAGTCTTCTTGATGGAGATGGATTTGAGGTGAGTGACCTGGGTCTTCAACTTCTGCGCAATCTCCTTCTGGGTGTCTGGGATCGGCTGGGTCAACTTGTTGACCACGTCCTGGACTGCCTTGGGTAGTGCATTGAGGTGCGTCTGCAGGACTTCAGCCAGTCCAGGTTCCTCCGGTTGGGGTGGTCCAAATCCCAAGGCTTGAAGTTTGCTTTGAATCTCTCCTGGAGTGACATCCCCCGTAGTGGAAGAAGGTCAGCTGCCGTTTGCTGGCTTTGCCCTTCTTTAGCGGCCTGAGCTTTTGGAGGCCGGGTGGCGAGTCCAGGAGTGCTTCAGCATAGGTCTTCTGGGGCCATGTGGCCTTGGTGGAAGCCTTGCTTCGTGATCCGTGGCCCTGTCCCTTGCCTTTGCCAGTGGGTTGATGAGCATGTTGCCACCAAGTGCCACACTTTCGACATCTTGTTCCCGGAGCCAGCCTGTCGTCCCAAATCCAGTTGGTGCAGGTGGAATTGCCACACGGAGTGTAGCTTCTGCACCAATTGGATGTCTGGCTTGGTGTCATACTTCTGGATGCTGATGTCCTCAGGGTCGTTGTTTGTGTACAGCTGGTGGGCGACGTGTTCGGCACCGGTCACGTTCTGGGTTCCGCTGGGTTGGAGGTCCAGCCCCCTGGAGACCTCAATGTTGAAGCCAGGCGAGAACTGCCAGTTGCCGGAGATCTCAGCTAAAGCGTGGAAGGCGTAGACGTGAGATCACTAGCAAAGGAGTCCAGTGCCGAACAGGAAGTCCAGGGAGTTTATGGCTTGTATCCGGCTTTGTATTGGACCGGCTTGGGCCACTCGTGGCTTGAGCCATGTGTGTATGTATGTATGTATGTAATGGTAATGGTAATGGTAATGGTAATGGTAATGGTAATGTGATGTAATGAAATGTAATGTAATGTAATGCAATGTAATGTAATGTATGTATGTAGCCTTTTATATATAAGAAGGGCTGGCCCCTGATTCTATGCTGGCCAAAAAGCTAGTGCCAATAGTCTTCAAAGTAAGTGGCAATGAGTCAATGCAAGCATTTTCAAGCAGCAATACATATAACTTGTTGCCTTTGTGCATTGTTTCTGATGGTGCAAAATGCTTAGGCCAAGGACAAGTGGCCCTACTCGCA